ATTATGGAAATGATCCACAACAAACAATTAATATAGTTTTAGAACATTTAGATCCTATTGTTTTAACTCCAAAATCAATATCTGTAGTAGATACAAGACGATCAAGTTCAAAAGATAGAGTATTATTAAGTAGAGCAACAACAAATACTCCAAGAAATATAATAGGTTGAGCAAGGACAATCAATGAAGATAAATTCATTTCTTCATTTGAATCAATTAAAATAAATGATATAGATAAGAAAAGTAAGACTTTAATGAAATATATCAGATAATTATTTACGCAAAAATATCAATAGATTCTTATGGTTACGAATTTTCTGATAAGTTTCATGAACATCTTCAGAATGAACATTTTCGAGAATCTGTTTATTCTCTTATCAAATATGTTTATATTGCTTCGAATCTCAGTTATTATATGTACAGTAGGATCGAAAATTTCTGTATACATACTTTGCCAATGAAATGTATGCATACATCAATTTTTAGATCTATAACACGTATGATAAGGATGTTCTTTTTTGTTAAAGAATTTCTTTGTTAGACTTCTACTTCGTCGTGATGCTAATTCTTCACTTAGTGATTGGTCATTACTAGTTCTTGCTCTAACTGTTCGAGCTGGTGATAAAGATATTGATGAATTATTATTAAAAAAAAAGCTCAAGTTAATTGTCGATTAAATGTTGTTCGTCATGCTTCTTTAATTCCATTACATATTGCTTGTGGTTGTTTATCATCAAATGTAATCGATATTGCTCAACAATTATTAGAACATGAAGCACATATCAATGCAGAATCATTACCAAGTGATCAAGAATATTTATCACTTGCTGATCCATCAGTTACCAACATACATAGAATAGTAAAGAGTTTTTATATTTCGTCAAAAAACACAAAAAAAACCATTTTAGAATGGCTCTGTTCCACATGATCGTACTCCTTTACATATAATATGTACACGTGAAGCAACAGAAGATACATTATCTCTAGTTCGTCTACTTGAACATCATGCTAATCCAAATGCTGTATGCAATGGTCGAATATCACTTTCACTTGCTATCATTCTTGTAAATGAACGTTTAGTTGATTTACTTATCAATCATGACACAACACATCCATCGACTTCACTCAGACTAGGAAATAGAAATGTATTATGTGCTATTTTATCAACAGTTCAAGAATCTCAATGGACTTATGCTAAACGATTAGAATTAGTATGTAAAGAATCGATAAAAAAAAATTTGCTTAATTTATATTTTATTTATATTTTAAATTGAACGTCTCATAGCAAAAAATCCTAAAGTTCTTTACGCAAGTTGTATTTCATTTTGCATAAAGATTAAAACTAATTCATAACATAGATTATATGAAACAGAAAATGACAATTGCATTAGATGAGTGAATAGATACAATAGAGATGAAATTCACTGTATGGATCAGATGTGACAATATTAAATAATTCACTGAATAACCTATATAAACATCGAAATTTGATATCATTTAGATATGTATATAAAGATGAAATCAACTCTGCTAGATTGTAGCAAGTCGGGATAGATTTTGATAACAGTTTCTCTAATGTTTTCATCTAGACTCGATACAAATTTTAAATTATTTTATAATTCTTCTAAATCATTATCTTGATCATCTGAAATAATTCACTTTTATAGTTTTTATTTCGATTCACTTTTTCTGAATTAAATATTATTGAAAATCTATTTTGATTAATAATCGATTACTTCTATATATATGGAAGAATGCTTGAAAAACATCATGAAATGATTTAAAATTACAGTGATGATCAATAAATATATGTCATTTTTATTGGACATGAAATACATTAATAGAAAAACTGTTGACTTTAGCATTGAGAAACAAATTAGTATCAAACATGAATAATAAACAGAGGCTTCATTGTTAGACTTACGAGAGGAACTTCCAATATGATTAAAAGCTTTTGAATTCATCTTCAGCCTAGTCAAGGAGGACCTATATATTAGAACAAGCTCCAAAGGGTTCGTGCAGATGTTAAGAATTGACTGAGATGCTGACTTTTTTAGTGAATTTTCTTTGTATGAACTCAATTTTTCGATAAAATCCTATTGTCGAATTTTGACCCGAAAAATTTGTTCAGATGAAGATCTCAGTGATATTAGCTTATACACAAAATTTCAGAGGTTTTCGATTGAATGTCACTGAGATGTGTATTTTTCAGACTTCAGATGGTTTTCCATTCATACCATATAAAACATGTATATTTTGGAAGATGTATATTCAGAGATACTCAATGAAGAACTTCTAAAATTTCATACATAAGTTAGTCTTGCGGAGACCTTCATCTGGGCAAAGTTTTCAGGTCAAAATTTGACAATGCGATTTTATCTAAAAATTTGGGTCCACACAAAGAAAATTCACTAAAGCATCAATATCTCAGCCAAATCTTCACGTCAGTGCGAATCATTTAGAAAGTCTTCTCGATTATCAATCCCCTACAGCTGGGTGCAATATAGACTCACAAACTTTTAATCATCTGGGAACCTTCTCTCTTTAGTGGAATCAATAACCATGTTAACATTCTGTGACTCTTATACTTTTGATTTGGAAAAAATATTATTCGATCTAAACATCAAATTTGAAATATTGCTAAAACTTACGCAGTTATCATTACTAGCAAATCAAAAAGAAAATGTCATATCTGAAAATATATATGTAGACTTTTTTTATTAGATATATAACATGAAACATATAGTAGATGATCATAATATGTCTTCTAAAATCAAAACAAATCGTGTAAATATAACGAACAATGAAACAAGTATTGTTTTTATTAGAAGAGTATCATCTAGATATATAATTGTGTAAATACTACAATTTAACTTAGAGTATTCAAAATTGATTTTGATATTTAATAATGAAGATATTTCAGTAGAATATTATTAAGATTCCTAATCATTGAAAACTCATTTAACCACTTTTTGACATGCGATATTAAAATATTACCAGTATGAATTTAGAGAAAAGACAATATGTACCAAAATATCATAGCTACATTTGTGTAATACAATACTATAATTTGTCAATATCGTTTTATTATTAGAACATTTTTAATATACGTTGAACTGTTTCCTTAATTAAATATACAGGTGAGCTGCTGTTATTGTGGAATAAAACTTGAAGAAAATTCCAAATATTGAATATGAGATGAACGAAATTCCACCAATTGCCAGCTACATATTTTGAGGGTCAAATTATTTTCATAGGCCTCCATGCTTTTATTAATTTATCGTTCAAGATATATAGTAGTAATAGTAAACGATTTTTTTAAAGAACCATTTTAAATATAATATTGAATAAAACCTTATCAAAAGAATTTTAAAAATCTAGTGAATATCAAATCTTGTTTTCTATTAACCGAAGTATTTGAAAGAAAAACAGATTAGAACAAGAATACTTATGTTCATTTGAAAAAACTATCTGACTGATTATACTTTTTTATCACTCACGTTGAATAAAAAGACAACGAATAGATTAACTCGTTGAACTTGCTATCTTTCTTCTATTAATCTTCCTTATTTATTATACTACGTACGATATGATTTGCATCAATTAATCATAAACAGTAGAGATTGAATACGTTTTTTTCACTTTTGATCTATTCTTCAAGCAGCCACGACAGGAAACCATCATAACTTGGTGTGTTTACCATAATGGTACATATGATGGATGGTCTATATTCAAAGAGTCACTTTTGTTCTCTCTGTTTTCTTTAGAGTTTTTATTAAGTGTCGTTCAATAGTCTACAGTTAAAAAATTGTCTCTACTAGAAAATAGCATAACTGTTGTCCTTAAAACACTAACTATTATTCTAGCGTAAAAAATAGAAAACTAAAAGAATTCCAACAACTCATATTGCATCTTCATGATAAAATGAAGCATTCCAATCTATAGATTTTGATAGTGCTATGCGATATGGTTTAGGGTTCAAAGACAATTTGATGGATGTGACCAATGGACTTCACATTTTTTATCCACATATTTGCATAGAGTCACAGCAACAGTCATGTTAAAAATAAATACTCGTCTACTGATATTTTACCACGAAATTCGAACGATGGAGCATTTTTCTGAATGAAATTGGAGTACCAAATTGTAGAATGTTATTAGTCTTTTATTCTTAGAAGTTAACATAATAATTGACATTTGAAGAAAAAAAAATTAGACGACTTCCTAAAGCAAAGGCTTTTTCCCTCTACTGAAAGGAGGGTCATACACCGAGTTAGGTTCGTATGTTCGTAACTTCGTTCGTAACTTCGTAACTTCGTTCGTTCGTTCGCACAGAACGAAAAAATGT